TATGGGTATTTTAAATGTACAGCAGGATTTAGCATAAATGCCACTGTAGCATCATGTCTTAATTAGAAATTATAGCAGCCTCTGATCTAGTATTTTAGTAGAAAAAGTAGCAGTGGTACCAAGTTCTCAGCAAATGAAGGATAAAGGGAGATATAATTTACACAAATAAATTCAAAAGGAAGCAATGCATGCTGAATTCTGGATGCCCAATAGCTTCTCAGATTACACTAAAGGATACAACATTTTTCTCTACCAGAAAATGTCGAAATGTTTCTTAAATTTAATATTGAGCTGCTGACTTTTATCTCCTGAATAGGTCATGACAATTGATGTGCTTTAGTAAGAGATGCTACTGAAATAAAAAATAAAATAAAAGGTATAAACTAGCCAATAAAGCAGACTTTGTTTAAGTAATAGTTTATCTAAAGCCAAGGTCAGAAGGCTTGCATCTGAGTTTCTGATTTTCAGGGTATGTAATCAATGCTTCCATTGCATTTTTATAATTCTGTTTCCAAGGAAGTGACCTTTTCACTACTGCCAACCATAAGCTATCAAAAAACATGAGTCAGGTCCCCTAAAAATCAAGAGATTAAAAAGAACTCCACATTTATCATTTTAAAATATTTACCTTATTTTTTGAGCCCTTGGATGCACTCAGGGTATGTTTTAAAGTTTTTCTCTGTAAGTATGAGGCCTAGAACTGTACTTTTTTTTTTTAAATGAAAACTCGGATTCTCACATAATCACCAGATTCCAGGAGCTTTAAGAAGAACACCAAAACCATGAGACCCATGATAAAATCATGAGACCTGGCAACAGAGTCTTTTGGAAGTTTTAGTATAGAGGCATTTGTGATGAAAATACTGGAAAGGCAAAAGAAGATATGTATTTGAACCATGTTTTTTTGACTTGTATAAAAATAACTGGTTGCGTGTTAAATTTTCACACTGCAACTCAAAATATACATCATAGATTCATAGATACTAAGGTCAGAAGGGACCATTATGATAATCTAGTCTGGCCTCCTGCATAACGCAGGCCACAGAATCTCACCCACCCACTCCTGAAAAACCTCACCTATGTCTGAGCTATTGAAGTCCTCAAATCGTGGTTTAAAGACTTCAAGGAGCAGAGAATCCTCCAGCAAGTGACCTGTGCCACATGCTACAGAGGAAGGCGAAAAACCTTCAGTGCCTCTTCCAATCTGCCCTGGAGAAAAATTCCTTCCCGACCCCAAATACCTTAATCTTAAAGCCAGATAGATCTTTTGCCCCCACTGCTTCCCTTGGAAGGCTATTCCAAAACTTCACTCCTCTAATGGTTAGAAATCTTCGTCTAATTTCAAGTCTAAGTCTAACATCAGACCAAGGTGACATCTCCATTGTTTGTCTATACTCAGAAGGGGACTATTTTTATCATTATCTCCATAAACTATATAGCCTTCCTTGGGGACTGCACTTCAATGTAACTTTATGTGATGAGAAAACTTGTCAGTTTCCAGTGAGCATGAGCAATATGCTGTTTGGAATTTTAACTCCTGGTAGGACAACCCAAGCTGGACAGGTCAAAGGGTAGGGACCAAACAAGACAGTCCACTGGCCCTCCAGGCTGGAGGTTGAGCAGTAGACCAAAAACTTATCCTCATTAAAAAGTTAAGCTATAGAAACACAACACGGTAGCCATTCCAGCAAACAGCAAGATAAAACAAGGATGGCAGAGTTTTTGCTCATGCCTAAGTGATGAGAAGGATTCAGAAATTATCTAGTGTAAAAATATTAAAGGTGACTAAAATTTGCAGAAGTGAAGTGTTGATTAGGGGTTTTCAAGACTCCTACCAAGGTTAGAGAATTGTTGGAGCAATAGATCAATACATTCTTAAGATGAAAGGAAGTGTTCATATATATACACCTTTACACACTTGTTTTGACTGGTAAGTTTTTGCATGACAAGGTTGTCAGCCCTTCTGGGCAATGTTTTTTCTTGAGTGCATCTGACAACTGGTTCACATGTGGCAGTGTCCTCGTGCAAGTAGGAGACATTCACTGACATCACTGGTCATCACCACCATGGCCACATGCAGGGACCCAGGAATTTGCCATCTCACAGTTAGGCCTTTTTTTTCCTGAAGATGAGAGACCAGACCAGGTGTGACAGGGAGCCAGTGGGGCTGAGGTATTGTGCTAGTGTTCTGCAGAAGATGAAGTCCCCTCTCGGAGCCTACCTTATCCAGTAAGATTCGAACTGGGTGAGTTGCCTGGAGCCCTGCCTCCCTCAATGTACCTTAGGAGATGTGTGTGTTCACTACACAGCTAGATTAGACACATGAATGCACGGGAGCACTTCCTTTTGACTGATGACTAGATAGTGGCATAGTACTTAAATTGAAGGCACTTGTTTACAATGAAATGATTCCATATAAAATTCAGAAAGAGGGTCAAAAAACCACTTGGATTGTGGCTGGGAAATATCATTTAGGGCAATATTATATTACTGCATTAGCAAAGCCCTTCTGAAAGAACTGAATTGTAGAAGGAACCAAAATAATATTTTATTGGCTGTTGCTGTCTCAGCTTCTATGACTGCAAGCCCTGCCCCTTCTGACAAGTGGCTGAGGATTAAGGGGGACTGAACCAAACAAAGGGCTGGTCTGCATGCAGTTTTTGTAGCAATTTAATTATAAAGATAACTCAGTGTAATCCACTAGTGTTGATGCAGCTACACTAGTATAAAGGTGCTTGTACTGGACGAGCTTATTTCTGTAAATTTGCCCAAATAAGCGAAACAGATATAATTAACTTTATACCAGTATAACTCCATCCATATTGGGAGGATTGGGGAGTGTGATGAGGTGTGCTCCCCACACTGGACCTGCAAGAGCTGAATTAGTCCACGTGGGCTCAGTCAGCTTATTATGCTGCAAATGGGGGAGCTTTAGGCTGGAGGCAGCTAATTAGAAAGACTCACCCCTGAGGGACAGGCAGGGCTTCTGCAAAAGACAGGAAATTGGAAGCAGGGCGAGTGGCAGGGAGAAGTCTGCAGTCACTCCTTGGAAGAAGGGAAGATTGTTTGGGGGCTACAGAGATGAGTTCCCTAAAGTTACTCCCTGGGAGGAGAGAGTGAAGAGACTGGCAAACCCAGAGGAGTGGGGAAGGCCAGGAGATATGGAAGTGGCTCAGGGAAAGCCAGCAAGGTTCAGGGAATGCTGCCTAGAGGGTCTGTGAGGTAGAACCCAGAGTAGCAGGTGGGCCCGGGTTCCCCAGCCAGCCACTGTGGGAATGGCACTGTGAGACAGTGAAGTGGAAGGCTGCCAGGGAGCAGGAACTTTGTTACATGCCCCCCGAGGAAGAGGAACCATGATAGTGACCTGGCTGGAGGGCTGAGTCACAAAGAGGATGCAGCAGCTCCTGGAAATGAGAGAGGGGCTGTAGAGGAGAAACTAATGGGGTGTAACTGCTGGAAGGGGCATCAGCGTGACTGAGCTAATCCCCAGAACTGATAGGAGGTGGCAACCAGCCTGAATGAAAAGCCTCCCATTATCTTCATTGATCTCTGTACCAGGTCCAAGGAGCAGATCACAGAACTGTAGGACTAGACCTCAAGAGTTCTTCTAGTCCAGTCCCCTGCAGGAATCAGTATTATCTAGACCACCCCGACAGGTGTTAGTCTAAACTGCTTTTAAAAATCTCCAATGATGGAGATTCCACAACCTCCCTAGGCAATTTATTCCAGTGCTTAACCACCCTGACAGTTAGCAAGTTTTTCCTAATGTCCAACCTAAACCTCCCTTGCTGCAGTTTAAGCCCATTGCTTCTTGTCCTATCCTTAGAGGTTAAGAACAATTTTTCTCCCTCCTCCTTGTAACAACCTTTTATGTTCTTGAAAACTGTTACCATGTCCCCTCTTAGTTGTCTCTTTTCCAGAGTAAACAAACCCAATGTTTTCAATCTTCCCTCATAGGTCATATTTTCTAGACCTTTAATCATTTTTATTGCTCTCCTTTTGGACTTTCTCCAATATGTCCACATCTTTCGTGAAATGTGGTGCCCAGAACTGAACACAAATTCCAGTTGAGGCCTAATCCGTGGGGAGTAGAGCAGAAGAATTACTTCTTGTGTCTCGTTTACAACACTCCTGCTAATACATCCCAGAATGATGTTTGCTTTTGTAACCCTTCTGCCAGGCCAAGTTGATACCAGCAAGGGCTGGGTTCAGTACACAGGGGTTCCCTCTCATTAAAGCAAATGCAAAACTGGCTCGAGCCCCCACCCAGTGACCTGGGAAAATCTTACACACCCCCTGGGCGCCTCAAGGAGGCAATACTTCCCCTCTCGCAAGCACGGCGTCTCGGTGTAGTAGAGAATCTTTAATAACATGAGGTAAACAACATCAGCATTAAATTGGGGAAACACCACAACTAGTGTTCATTAACCAAACCATGAACACCGACCCACCCCAGAAAAATTGGGCCACATCCTTTCCCTCAGGCTCTTGAGTCCCAGAACCCAAACGTCTCTTGAGTCCAGCAATCCACAAATCTCCCAAAGTCCAAAAAAAAGTCCAGCCCCGGAGTTCAAAAGTTCATCTGCAGAGTGTTACTCCCCAGTCTGGCTAAAATGTGCCTGGGTGTGGGGGAAAGAGGTAAGGGGCACCTTACGTGTCCTGAAGCTGACTGCCTCACAGGGCTCTGCTCCGCTCCACCATGACCGGCTCCGCTCTGCACAGCTCGCCGTCTCACGCCCGGCTCCGCTCAGCTCGCCGTCTCACGAACACACCGCCGTCTCACGACCGGCTCCGCTCAGCTCGCCGTCTCACGAACACACCGCCGTCTCACGACCGGCTCCGCTCAGCTCGCCGTCTCACGAACACACCGCCGTCTCACGACCGGCTCCGCTCAGCTCGCCGTCTCACGAACACACCGCCGTCTCACGACCGGCTCCGCTCAGCTCGCCGTCTCACGAACACACCGCCTCTCACGACCCTCCGCTCAGCTCGCCTCTCACGAACACACCGCCGTCTCACGACCGGCTCCGCTCAGCTCGCCGTCTCACGAACACACCGCCGTCTCACGACCGGCTCCGCTCAGCTCGCCGTCTCACGAACACACCGCCGTCTCACGACCGGCTCCGCTCAGCTCGCCGTCTCACGAACACACCGCTGTCTCACAAACAGCTCTGCTCACCCCGCCGTCTCACAAATAGCTCCGCTGCACACTAGATCTTCCGGCTCCCCACTACTTGACACAGTGCTCAGTGATTTCAGCTCTCGGTGATTTCAGCTCATAGTAGTAGGAGCCTTAGTGCTGGTGCACCATCAGGCTGAAGTGAATTCAGCACAGTACCCGTAACAAAACTCTTAATAGACCCAAAATTAGCTCTGACATTCCACAGTGGAGAGAGACAGAGGTGCAATTGGTGCTTCAGGCCCTCACAAAGGGGCCTACACCTCAAGTCTCTCTCAATTCACAGAGTTTTGGAACCCATGTCCCTTGCCTAGTGAGTGCTACTCAGTTGATGGTGAGTCCTCCATCATAACAAAAAGGCCAAGTACAGTTCCAAGCACAGTTCCCATAATCAGGGTACTAACACTTTATTCTTCCCGCCCCAATAACAGAGACACTGGGGATCCCACAGCAGCCAAAGTGACCATTTGGGCAGTTATGGCCTCATTCTAGGCGGGGTGGGTGTGCCTATGCAAATGAGATCAGCCCCTGAAGTTCTTTTCCACAACTTGCCACACCTCACCACCAGATGTCAGGGTGGAGCCTACCCTGTCTCTGCTTACACTTTTTTTTGCAACAGCGTTACACTGTTGACTCATATTTAGATTGTTAGTTCTCCTTCCTAGGCAGCCATTTCCCATTTTGTATGTATGCAACTGACTGTTCCTTCCTAAGTGGAGTACTTTGCATTTGTCCTTATTGAATTTCGTCCTGTTTACTTCAGACCATTTCTCCAGTTTGTCCAGATCCTTTTAAATTGTAATCCTATCCTCCAAAGCACTGGCAACCCCTCCCAGCTTGCTATTGTCTGCAAACTTTATAAGTGTACTCTATGCCATTATCCAAATGATCGATGAAGCTATTGAACAGAACCACACCCAGAACTGATCCCTGCAGGACCCCACTTGATATGCTCTTCCAGCTTGACTGAATAACTACTCTGGGAATTTTTTCCAATCAGTTATGGACCCACCTTATAGTAGCTCCATCTAGGTTGCTTTTCCCTAGTTTGTTTATGAGAAGGTCATGCAAGACAGTATCAAGATATACCATCTCTACTGCTTCCCCCCATCCACAAGGCTAGTTACACTGTCCAAGATGTAGCCTTTCGAGAGAGGTGCTGAAGGGAAAGACATAAATGGCATGTTGATGATCTGTTGGGTTTGGAAGACATCCCCCCTAGAATGCTCTCCAACAAGTTTTACCAGGAGAAGGGCTGATCATTTAAGATACGTTTGCTATGGAATGAGTCTACTATTTTCCTATGCCTATCAAAACCCCAGTTGTAGTGCTGCTTAACAGGCTGATGTTATGGAGAGGAAGTCTCTCCTTCTGGTGTTTTAAGCTTCCTATTGTGCAGTGTATAGCCTAGTGTGTAAAGCTGATTTTTGGAGCCTTTTTTAAAAAACAAACAATTCTTAAAAAGTTAATAAAATCTCATGAGTCATCGCTAATGGGTAAAGAGTCACATTTACTAGAACTTCCCTAGATTGTAAATGGAAAATCTGTTCAATTAAAATAATGTATTCATTGACTGACTGTAATTAGGGATATGCATTAATCTATGGATCCAATACCCACAGATTGGAGAAGGACAAGAATTAATACTGCTGTACATATTGATCAAACCTAGTAAATGGATAAACGTAAGAGAATACATAAAGAAAAACATATGTTCTCAGGAATACATAGGGGAATCCTCTTAAAAGATTATCTGAAATAGGACTAAACCTGCTAAAGGAAGGATTTTTACTGTAATGTCATGGCTGTGCTTTTAAGCAGCTTCCACTATATTCAATTACTATTGATTCATTAGTTACATGAACTGTACATCTCTAATTAAAATCCTCTTTCCTTCCAGCCTTGCCACCAGCAGGAATGCTTAAATAGATTTACTATGAATTGAAAAAAAAGTGATAAAAAGATTAATTAGAAAACACTAGCCAAAATACCCTGACTTTCTCTGTGTGTTTCTCAGTAACATGTGGTAATCTCTCCCCTCAGTGCCTCTCCCTAAGAAGAAGCTGCTGTGGATGATGTATTTTCCTAATCTTCAGTCAGTGCATCACCATCATTTTGATTTTTTTTTTTAATGCCAATTAGACAAAGCCCTGGCTCACACAGATTGACCCTTCCCATCTTCGGAATTGGAAATACCTATTGCTAAAAGTACCTGACACCAAAGAACAAAAGCCCTGGGAAATGAGAACAGTGCTTTTTTAATTGTCAAGCTCATGTCATGGAGAACTGACTAAATAAGCAATATTCAACTGTGAGGAGTAGGAAAACCACTTAACTTCGTAAAAAGCCACTGATAAAACACCATGCAAAGTCCCAATGTTGCCTGGTGATATTTCTGCCATGGACTTGTATCATAATGACAAGAGCTGGGCAAATAATTCATAACAAATAATTTAACAGAAGTATGGTGCTTCTCTCTCCCTGTGGGCAGAATTCAACCTTGTGCAGGAGCCAGTGTAAGTTCTACGCAATACTTAAGAACTATTTAAGCTCTGGGGGCCTTATGTAGCACAATAAAAAGTTTAAGGGCTTGATCCTGTAAGTAACTGAGCACTCTGGGCCCAGTCCAAAGCTTTTGAAAATGTGAGTAATCCCATTGACATTACTGGAAGGGGCTGCTCACATGCCTTAAGTTAAGCATATGCTTAAGTGCTTGTCTGGATAAATGCCTGAGTGCTCAGGACCTGATCAAAAAGTAGAGAACATCTTCCTCCTTCCCTAAATATATTCCCATATTATTCCAACCAGAATCACACTAGCAGCACCACTTAGGAATCTATTAGAGTCATTAATTCCTTGAAGGATTAGATGGCTTCCTGATTCTCTGACCACTTTTATACCCCACTCCCCAGTAGTGTTTAGAGAAACATTGGTGGAGGGGTATGCCAATTCAAAACCTACTGGAGACTCCTCCACATCAAGAGAGTCCCCAGCTAGGGAGTTATGAGAGTATTCTCTCTAGAAGTGTCTGCATATAAAAGTTAGTAGTTGGCTAGTGGGTAATGTGCCAGTAGATGGTCTCAAGAATATGTCGTATTCTTCACTGATTTTGTAAGACCAATAATACTTGTTGGTGTGCAATGCAAATAGCTTCCTCTGTGCAGCTCTTTATAAGACGCTCAACAAGGAGATGCAGCCAAATTCTATTCCAGAAAATCTGGCCATCTAAATTCATTTGAAATTTTCATGACATAATTCAAGTGGCACTCTCTTTCCTGACTGAATGACTCCACTAATGAACCAACAGCAGCACAAATTTCAAACTGCATACTTGAGTGTAAAATTTTCAGTTTGAAATTCTCACTGTGTCTGGTCGGTAACCATTCAGATTTCACTCATGGCAAATATTTGGAATAGTCTGCCTAGAGATGTGCTTTTTCCAAGATTTGCACTGGGGATACCTGATCACTAGAAGATTTATGGGAAGTGAACACAAAGGTCAAGACACATTCAAAGTGAAACTGTTTAAAAATTCTACTGAAAATTCACTTTTTTGGCTATGCATTTAGTATTATAACTCAACATCACAAAGATACAAGATCATGATAAAAATATTGCAAAGTTGTGTTAGAATATCATACCATGAATAATTGCTGGCTCTCTGTTTTCATTTGTCACTCTCTTTCCACTCCCCCAACCCTCAGTTTCTGAGAAGGCATTGGTAGTGTTTCTCCCCCTCTGTCCTTCTTCCCACTCAGTTCCTATCCATGAAGACAGTGGTTCATTCCGTCACTAGTTCTCTCTCCTCCAGTCTTCTTGCTGTTTGGAGGGAGGTCAGAGAGTCCAATGGCTGATCCTTTCTCATCTCTCTGAAGAAAGTAATAAAAAGGTAAGAATCATGATAATGATCATTTCCTGAGCACTGCCCCTAGCCTGAGCACTGTTCTGACGAAGAGGAAGGCTAAGTTTACAAGGCTAAGACCAGATAGAAAGCATAGAGTTTCAGTCAAACCTATAGACTCTGGACAGCCACATGCAATGTTGTTGTAGCCATGTCAGCCCCAGACCTGAAGAAGAGCTCTGTGCAAGCTTGAAAGCCTGAACTTGGGCCAATAAAAGATTACCTCACCCACCTTGTCTCAGCCACATGAAGACATTAAATATCTGTGGGTTAAATATTACTAGGCTAAATCATCTAAGTAATGAGGAAGATCTTGGATTTTTTATGATTACCAGAAGAGGCCTCATGGACAGTTTTCAAACCAAGGAATTACTATTTTCTGTTGTTTTCTTTTCACCTTTTTGTCCTTTCTGATACTCATATAAATAATCATAATGAAACTCAGGCATTTATATAGCACTTTACATCTCCAAATTGCTGTGCAAATATTAAGTAATTCGACAAAGTATAGCAGCCACCACATCCCCTAAAACAAACCTTTTCACTTCTAGAGGAGAGGTGAACGAACTAAACTAGACTCCCTTACATTGACTTACGCCATGTTTACACTATCCTACTGTAATTCCTGTTGTGTAGATGCTTCCTACATCTACGGAGGGGAAGAGGAGTTCATCCCTATAAGAACTCCAGCTCCCCAAAGCAATGGCAGCTAGGTTGATGGAAGCATTCTTCCAATTGATCTAGCTGTGTCTACACTGGGGAGGTCAGTATGGATTTTTCACACCCTGATCAACAGAACTATGTTGGCCTAACTTTTAAGTGTAGGTCAGGCCTAAGAGTTTTAGACCAACTTACACCCATTTACTGAATGTATAAAGTCTAAGGGCTTGTCTTCACTATGGAACTGAATCAGCGCTGCTGCAATCGATGCAGCAGCATTGATTTAGTAGGTCTAGTGAAAATATGCTCAATCAATGGAGAGCACTCTCCCATAGATTTCTGTACTCCACCTCAATGAGAGGTGAAAGCAGCGTCAGCAGGAGAGCATCTCCCGCCGACATAGCGTAGTGTGAACCCTGTGGTAAGTAGAGCTAAGCTACGTCAACTTGAGTTACGTTACTAACTCAAATTGTGTAGCTTAGATCGACCGGTGGCGGTAGTGTAGACCGGGCCTGAGTATTAAGGAGTCTGTACTGGTGAGACTTATGCACAAGGAGCTGAAGATCTAAGTTACAATAGGGACTGTCTGCTTTAACTTACACATTTCACCTCCCTGATGGTTGCTTTCCTTGCTAATATGAAGACAAATTCTATTCTCATTTACTCTAGTGTACATCTAGAGTTTACACTATGTTTATGGAGTTATTCCAGATCTATACTGATGTGATTGAAAGCTGAATTTGAACACAGATTCCCTTATACTCAGCCGGCCATTGTTGGGAGGGTACATGTGTGCACTGCATGTTGGCAAGTGAATATAAATCTGTACTAGTCTAAGGGAGTCTAAATAGGTATGATATACAGGTTGGAGGGAAGGGAAGAAGGTATAATGTACACCTGCATAGACTCCCTCTAGTATTATCATTATAACTGTCTGACAGAATTTAATAGAAATGGAACTAACAAGGACCTACAGAAATATAATATGGCTGTATATAAGTTACTGATAAATTCAATAGGTTTTAATAGATAATTATATTATTCTACTGGCTTCTTTAACCATCCTTTACAATTCTATACTGGGGATAGAACAGGATAAATGAGTCTATAGCCTATTTTAAAAATACACACACATACTATAGACAGGTTATGTCCATTCAATTCTGTGGGACTTCTCTATATAGGTTTCTACATTCACTAAGGCAATGTCTACACTATGGGTATTACAGTGGCATTGCTGCCATGCTGCAGCTGTGCCATAGTGTAGATGCTTTCTACATCGATAGAGGAACTTTTTCTCTTTATGTAGGTAATCCATCTCCCTCCCGGAGTGCCGGTAACTTGTTTCATGGAAGAATTTTTCCATCAACCTACCTGCCTCTACCCTGGGAGTTAGGTCGGCTTAAGTACAGTGCTCAAGGATGTGAATTTTTCATACCCCTCAACGCTGTAGCTAGGTTGATCTGAATTTTATGTATAGATCAGGCCTTCGATTCACCATTGAGTTTGGCCCATAGTCTGCAATAGAGACTTTCACTTATGTATCCTAGTCACACCCCGAGCGCCATTGTTAAGAATGACCTAACCCAGGTGTAGAATTCTTCCACTGACCTAGCTACCACCAATCTGGGATGGGACAGAGGGGTGAATTACCCACATTGATGGAAAACCCCTTCTATTGATGTAGGGAGTGTCTACACTACAGTGCTATATCAGCACAGCTGCAGCACTGGTTCTGTAGTGCCTGTAGTGCACACATGGCCTAAAAGTCTCCCCATACCTTTTCCCTAATGGAAGTATGTACTTATCCATGAGTAGGGTAGGTATTTTACTATGCCTGCCACATATAAAGCCATAATCATGGCAAGGTCCAGCCTAATCAAATTCATCCCGCAATTTTCAAATTTTGCATCATGAGTCTAGAACACTTTACAAGTCCATTTACAAATTAATAACCTTTTATCTGTCAGCGCTACTTTAATGAAATATACATGAAAGTTTTGAAATTTAGACAGATTTGATCTATAATTCAGATGCTTTCTCCAATTAAATATGTTTTTGCTTATCAAATGAACAGAATATATTTACCTTTGTAAATATACCAAGGAAAGTGTCAGAAGTCCCATCATTTAAAACTAAACTGGACAGAGCACTGGATAATACATCATAGGGAACAATACTGCCTTAGAAGGGGAATTAGCTAGATGATCAACTAGGTTTTATTTTATCACTAATTCTCTGAATCTCTGTCCATCTGCCTGCAGCTATCGCCATTTTTAATACATGCAGATACCTATATTTCCTCCCTAAAGACTGCAGTATTGTTGAACATATCTATTGTACAATTTATTTATTTTCACAGAAATGTAGGGCTGGAAGGGATCTGAACAAGCCACCTAGTCCATCCTCCTGTGCTGAGGCAGGATTAAGTATACCTAGACCATTCCTGACAGGTGTTTGTCTAACCTATTCTTACAAACTTCAAATGGTGGGGATTTCCCAGTCTCCCTATGTAAACTGTTCCCATACCTAACTATCCTTATCATTCAAAAGATTTTCTTAATATCCAACCTGAACCTCTCTTATTGCAAACTAAGCCATTTCTTTTTGTCCTATCTTTGATGGACATAGAGAAAAATTGGTCACCATCCTCTTTATAACAGCCTTTTACATATTTGAAGACTGCTAATGTCCCTTCTCAGCCTTCCGTTCTCTAGACTAAACATGTCCAATTATTTCATACTTTCCTCACTGGTCATGTTTTCTAAACCTCTTGTTATTTTTGTTGCTGTCCTCTAGATTCTCTCCATTTTGTTCATATCTTTCTTAAAATGTGGTACCCAAAGCTGGACACAGTACTCCAACTAAGGCCTCACCAGTGTTGAGTGGAGCAAATCAATTACCTACAGTGTCTTACATATGACACTTCCGTTATACACCCCAGAATTTAGACTTACAGAAGAACTAAAAACGATACCATCCATATGCTCTAAGTGACCTTGACACAGTTTAAAAATACATGTGCTGGAAATTAACATAATCCACCACAAATCCCCTCTCCCTCCCTTTCAAATAATTCCCCATCCTTAGTTCCTCCCCCATTTTCAAGTGAGAAAAAGGATCAACCTTGTAATGAGCCCTGAAGATCATAAAAGCATAAGGCACAAGTTGCCTATGTACCTGTAAATTTAGTGGTTTCATCAACTTGATTAAAACACTGCACAATGCTTTGAAAATTCAATACTTTTGTTTCCTTCATTACTTTTATGAATATATAGAAAAAAAGTCTGCACAAAAATACATGACCCCAAAAAACCATGACTCACCTGAATAAATTCCATTTCTGCGAATTACAAAAGCCAAAAATGTTTAACAGTGGCTAGGAAAGTAATTCACCAACATTTGCTGAGAGATGCATATATAATATAAAATGAAATTATATATAACATTTCTCCTTTAGAAGACATTCTGTGATTATGTAGCAAGATGTAGGTCACATAATAAGAACACTGTGGGCCAGACACTTAGCTGGTGTAAATCAGAAAAACTGCATGAACCCAGTGGAACAGTACCACTGTATACAGCTGAGAATCTTGCCCTTTGTCTTTAAATGTTTATTCCTGAACACGTACTAATTCCAGGGCTTTGTCAACTGATCTATTATATTATCTTAGTTCATCTCACAGCCAGTATATGACTTTTCCATGCACTATGTCCTTGCACTTTAAGCCCAGCCTAGCTTAAAATGCAACTAGCAAATGGATTTTCCACCACTTCCTTTGGGAGTCTCAGACTTCATTGTTAAAAATTGGTTCCTAGTATTCAGTCCAACTTTTCCTTTATTCAGTTTCATCTCACGCCCTTAATTATGTGTTCAAAGTTAGCACATCTCTTTAATAATAGGGATATTATTTTTGCTGCCTTTCTGTAAAAGAAGGTGTATACTACACTAAGTGGTTTACACATGAGCTGGGGAGGAAACCATTTTCTCAGCTTATGACACTTTAATTTAGAAGAAGGATGAAACTGAGACTTTTAGAAGTTTTTCATAAAAAAAATCAAGAGATAGACCACCACCCCAGAAAAGCCAAGAGCTGAGCACATTTACTTAATATGTGGGAGACCCAGGTTCAAGTCCCTGTTCTGTTTGAACGCAGGTCTTTGCACATCCTAGGTAAGTGCCCTAAACAATTGGCTATTGTGGAGTGGGTCTCTCCAGTTGGAGATGTTCCACTTTGTATTAAATATTCAGCGGGCCACAAAAACAGAGAGGCTGACTCTATACCCCAGATATTATGGCACTCACTTGGAATGTGGGTGTAATGGGGTGCACTCACCTCTCACAAGAACTCCCTTTTTCAGTGCAGTGTGCCTGTACACTCACTCCATTTGTGGTGGGTCTTCGCTGACTCAGCCCTCCAGCCACGTCACACATAGTCTGTTGTGAAATAAAAAATGAAGCAAACCCCTTCCAGGGTACAAGTCCAACAGGGGCCTCACTCCGTGCCCTCTGTAACATCTCTCTGAAGTTGTCTCTGCTTCAAAAAAAATAGTGTGGTGCCCCAGGGCTCCCTCCCTGGGGGCGATGTCTTCACCCTCTCAGGGCCTTTCTGGCTGCAACTCTCCAGCTGGGCCACTATAGTTCAGTTCCCCTTCTGGGGTGCTTAAAAGTCCAGGCCACTTTCCCAGTGGCTGGTGGGGGGGACCCAGTCCCACCCTCTATTCCAGGACCCAGCCAAGGGACCCTACAGATAGCAGCCATGCCATGTCCCTTTCTCTAAGTTGCACTGCTACTCTAATTCCCTGGGACACTTCCCTATGGCTCCAGCACATTCTTCACCATTATCTCAGGGCCTTGTCCTGGTGAAGTCCCAGCAGCCAGCCCAGAGCTCCATCTTGCTCTCCATGGCTTCTGACAGCACTGCCCTGTCCAAAGTCCTGCGACTCCCTCAGCCAGCCAGGTGCACCATCCACTCTCCTCCAGGTCTAGCAAGGAACTGATCTCCCACTGCCCCTGCAGCTCTTCTTATACTAGCCTGCTGTGCTCTGATTGGCTGCTTCCCCCACAGCCACTGTAGGCAGCTTGAAGGACCTCTCTACTGCCTTTTTCTGGGACGGGGTGCAGCAGGGGGCTTCCAGATCTAGTCCACCCCATCACACATGGGTTCAAGTCCTGGTTCCAAATCAAGCAGAGCAGAGACAAGACTTAAAAAAGGTGAATGCTCGACTCACCAGGATCTCTCTCTCTCTCTCTCTCTCTCTCTCACACACACACACACAATCACTCTCATTTGGACCAAAAACTCCATCCTGGACCTGAGAAACCTTTCCTAGATAAAGTTTAATTGAAATTGGTAAATTCCCGTAAAAAGTTTGTTTTGATGAAACAGCATTTTCCAACTAAAAACCATTTAGTCAAAGACTTTCCAGCCAGCTCTATTCACAAACTGTGAGTGTATGTGTTTATAAACTCATTAATGACAACAATTTTATCAGAAAGCCACTAAGTAAGAATGAATATGCAAACTAATTTTAAATGTCAAGTGAACTCTAAAGCATACACAGGTATCGATTTTATATGCTGACAATGAGACAAGTACTAGTCGGTCAATGACAAAGACTAGTATATAATCACAGCGCCTTACTAAATCTTTTAATTGGCCTTTTGATAGTTATAAGTCTCCCTGATGATGTTCTGGAAATTATCCAGGTCATCAATCTTAGTGAGATGATGCTGAACCTTTTTCCTACTTAGGTGCTAGGTATGTAAACTGGGGAACAAATGGATGATTCCGCATCAAAAATTATTAGGGGATTGGACAGACTGGTACATGAAGAAAGATTAATGACCCAAACAACTTGGCTTAGGGGGGACTAAGGGAGTTAGAAAATAATTGATTAAAATATTCGAAGCATGTAAACACTATGGTAGAAGAGGAATTATTTAGTTTTATAGATGAAGATGTAATTTGATCTGCAGACATTAAGTTAACAAAAAGCAAAATGAGGCGATATATCAGAAAGAACCTTCTGACAAAGAGATCTTATAGTCTCCTAAATGTAGCAGTGAAAGTCTAATGCCTTGAGTCATTTAAAACTGGAGTGGACAAAAATCCAGAATATACATCTGTAGATCAATCCTTCACTAGGCCAGGATGTATTAGGTATCCTGAGAGGCCTCTTCTCTCTCTAATGTCTTCCATTATGTGGGAGCACATTTGTTTTTAGGGTGCTTTAAATGTAATTTATTTCAAAGACTAAAGCTGATCTTGTGCATGCCTTGCCTTTCCTATCATATAGGTAGATAATTGATTGTGAACAGTTCAAATGGAATTTCCTTGACATTAAAGGTGGGGTTTTCAAAAGCACCTAAGGGAGTTAGATGCCCAATTTCCTTAGGCATATTTGAAAATCCCACCTTAAATCCTATACAAAATTTGAGAGGCCACCTAAGAAGGAGCTCTTGAGCTGATGTTACTAAATAACAGGTAAGATTGCATGCAATACCTACTGCCCCATCTGCCATGATTCACCTTATTATGACTTTCAATTTGTCAAGGAAGAAGTCAGATTGTGCGAATGTTTTTTAAAATCCCATAGAAGTAGTTATGGTAATATTGCCATTTTACCTTGAAATGAAACTCAAGGAAAATTATTCACAGCACAGGCAGATGAATATTCACTGATTTTATAATTGCACATTTTGCTGAAGCACAAAGTAGATTTCTCTTGCATTACATTTCTTTCACTGGAAAAATGGCAAACTACAAAAGATATTCACCCATCAGAAGTAATATCGCCTTCCCTAGAAGCAATAGCACCCTCCTCTTTTTTGCCTCAAAGCACTGTTTATAATGAGAGCAATGGCTTGACAGCTTTGACTCTTTGCACTTTCAGTGCATGCCAAACAGCCCTTTCATTGTCATGTATGTTGCATGTGGTCCTTATAGTCAAATGTTACGACCAAGAATAATTTAAGAATACATGATATGTCACTTCAAAAACATCAGGAATCTATTGGGACCATGAAAGGATACATCTTATTGTTATTGAGGTTCTCGCATACCTATTTATTTTCCTAAAATCTCAAATAGTATTGCAAGAACTAAAGCATCTAACAATTCCCAGTGTGACTAATAGATTTCCATATCTTCCAGGATTACAGATTGAAAGCAAATCATGGTAAGAAGTTTTCTCTGGTAAAAAAGAGAAGCAGCATACAAAGACACAGTAAATATAAAAACTCATCACATTCACAAAGCACAGAGACAAATTCCACATCCTACAGGTTAAGAAAGCATGTACTATGGAACTATCATTTCAGTATTGTCATATTTTGTGAAACTATATGTGTGTGAAGTGTAAACTAGTGGAAGAGGGGAGTGGAAATCAGGTCTCCTGGGTTCCATTCCTGCCTTTCCCAATTACTCAGCATGATTTTTTGGCAATTCTTTCATTTTGTCTCTCTGTATTTCAGTTTCTTTTTACACAATGGTTATAATACTGTAATAAAAGCTAATGCTGGTGATGTGCACATAAATGTTTGTAAAGTGCTTTGAGATCCTTGGATAAATGCCAGTTATTAATTATTATGTTAGGTAGGTATTAAATAAAGCATCCAAGCCACAAACCTTTTCATAAAAAGAGTGAATGGAAGGGGATAGATTGCATCTTCCAGCTCCCTATTCTTTGATAAATTAAGCCAAATCTAGGGCTCCATCCTCCAAAGACTTACAGAGGTGAGTAACTTCACTGCCGGGTTACTGCCAATTTAACCTTTGAAGGAAAAAAATGAATATATTGTTGATAGACATTTCATAGTGCACACACACACATACCAGATTCCTGCTGTGAACCAGAAAGAAACAAAATATAAGATAAACCAAAAATTTCACAAAAATTTCATTGCACAATTCTTCTTGTTTTCTGGTTGGGATTTTTGTTTCTCCTCAACTTTAAATGTAACTACTGAAGGATGGAAGTGCTAGTGACAAGGAGACAACAGGTCTGAATTTACAAAATTGCTAAGCCTATTTGTAAGAATAAATCAAAGCTTAAACATTTTAATAATCCAACACAGGATAAAGTAAGTGCTTGATCCAGCTCCCATTGAAATCAAAACCAAAAGGTAAATAATTTTTGAGGTGGTCACATATTAGTAAATTGTAGCTGCCCTTTCTACTGGCAAATAATGGAAGTTCTTACCAACTGACATTCTCGCAGTACATTTCAAATGCACACATTTCAAGGGCATCTTAGACATCTGTTCAAGCCCATTTTCCCCTCCCTAACTGACAGTAAGAGTTTTACCTTCCTGGTCATGTTCTGTAAGAAGACAAGCAAGCAGTAAAGCAGTTTCTGTGTTTGGCAAGACAAGGTGCAACTTCGGCATGAAGCAAGCATCACATTTTTCTAATGACAGCTCTTGGATACACTGCATCCCTGTGCAAGCATTGCTCACTTAGGAGAGGAACTGAATGAATGTGGGGATGAAAAACTATTTGTCTGTCTCCATGGCACAGCAATGCAACCCAAAAAATCTACAGGGCTGCTTTCCCACAACACCAATAATTTGCTTAGAAAAATATTTCCATGCGTCGTCTTGTGCCTTTGTATTGGACAAAATGTCAACAAGTGTGAATATTTTCGGCTTCCCCATCCAATTCCATAATAACAAAAGAGAAGAGCACTGAGTTCATTATTCCAGTGACATGTAAAATTTGCTTGTGTCTTCTCAGTACATGTCATGAATATAATTGCTGTAGCAAAAGCCTGATGTGACAGAATAGCTGAAGAAAAATAAAAAGAATGTGAAAGCAATGTTCAGCCTGATAATCAAACATGTATTTTACTCAGTGTTTCTTAGCAAACTGTCTGCAAGCATAACTGACAGTTAGGCTATTAGAAACTTTACATACTGTAATTATCTTTCCCTTCAAATCCTTATCGGAGAAGATGTTAGCTTGGTACTGGAATTTGGTTTCTATAAGTTTGAAACTAATTTAGTACCAAAGGAAACTGCTGGATCGACAGCCCCAACAAATGAAATCCTCTCTTCATCTGTAGTATCATGTGCCATACATAACAGGCAGAAGCAGTATACGATTCCTCAGGCTGTCATGGCAGTGGGTCTCACTTAGGGGTGAAATTCTCATTCGCCTTTCTGTGGAGACTGCCAAATGGATAGAGTCATCTGTAGTGGAGGCTGTAAGTAACACAGCATATAACTGAGTTCATATAAGATTCTTCAGATGGAGCTCACATAGCATATTATAGTTGGCCATGCTGAGAATCACAAACATAAAGGCCTATTCAAAACTCATTTAAGTCAATGGGCGTCTTTCCATCAACTTCAATACGCTTTAGCAAGCAACAAGCTTCCATAGATGCTGATATTGCAAAGAACAGGATAGGTACTCTCAGGTGGCTAAGTCCAGCTCCAAAACCTAAAACAACTGCACAGAAAACTCCCTGCACTTATAGCAGGGGAACAGACATAGCGATACCAGATTACTAGTTCTGTGAATTTCTATCCGATTTTTTTTCTGCCTGTCCCAGGGGAAATCCAGTTCAATTAGAGAATGTAAATGGGGTCACCTCTCACCTGTGCCTTAATGGAATTGCTCAGCAGGATCCCAGAAATATTTGTGTGCCCTTAAATGTGTCAGTTTGAACATTTTCTAAAGAACAGTGAAATACCTGCCCTGAAGTGATTAATAAATGTTTGAGATGATTCTCATTATTAATGCACTCGGGCATCATGGCAAAGTTTTGTCTTGAACAAAGTTAACAAGCAAACACTAGGAGGAAGTAAGCAGGAAAAGAGGTTGTCAAATAATTTAGCTGGATGACATCTTTTTACACTGAGCGTAGTCCTGTAAAACGTACAACCTGCTCATAACAATATAAATATATTTTAAAACCTCTATTAAAATAGTACCAAGGGATTGATTTAAAGTTAATTAACACAAGCAAAACATTTCCAAGTTAAGTCTTTCATGCCATCCTTTATCGTTGTTCCTGGGTATTGCTACATGGTATGACTGGGAACCTCAAGAATCACTCTGAGACCTCTCTAGTATCTGTGCACAGAGCAGGTGAAGGTTAAGGCTTTAGCCATAACTATGATTTTAATTACTTGCAATAGTATAAGTCAAATCCCAAGCTTCATTTCACTGTAGCTTTTAAAGATTTAATTTCCCTTTTCTTTTTAAAGCTAATACAGCATTTTTAAAAAGGGATTATGACCAGCATTTTCCTTAGGACTTGTCTACACAGTGCCTTACGCTCACCCGAAAGTGCATTTTAATGGCACATCTGGTTTTCACCCCAATGTCATTCTAGCCTAAACCCAATTCAAAATAAGGGCATTCTTAGTGTCTACCATGCCACTGGCCTGGAACACCAGATAGGTGAGTTTACCCACTTCGTTTTTTACAACTACAAAACTGGGTCCCTATCGTTAGGAGTTCATACTGTCTGAGAGACAATCAGGTAGACAGAGGTTAAGGGGAGGGAACAGGGTGCATTTAGATCAGCGTACATGGTGCCGCACCAGGTAGGGTGTAAATTCTAATTCACAATCACCGACCCTGCTGGCATGCACTGAAAGTTCCCTAGTGCATGTTACTGTAGTACTGTTTGAAACAGGACTACAATAATGTCCACTAGGGAATTTCTAGTGCACAGCAGCAGGGCCCACATGGGCCAGTTATTGCACAACACTCTGGTGTGCATTAGAATTTAAACAAGCCCTTAGTCTATGTTCCACCCACTTCTGTTCAGTCTCTATAATAGTGTTTGGAGCTATGAAGCAATGCAATGAGACAGTCATACTACTGGGCAGATGCCATTGGCGTCTATATGGCTGCAGCAGTTCAACTAAGAGGAGAACTTGCCCATTAATGTATCTCCAGATGTATATCCTCAACAACACACCCTGGAAGCAAACAATATAATGGACTCTTAAATGCATTGGGTCAGTGCCTGGCAGACAGCTCCTGAGGGGCACATTTTCAAAGGAGACTATAACAAATGTTCACACATTGTGCGGGGACAGTTGCCACTGTTATATAAGGGAGCTGGGGTTGGGAAGTTTAGGGAGATCACTCTTCACATAGCAATGATGGATTCTTGACTGCTGATCAGAACAGAGAGCTGCCTGCTGCAACTAGGAGCTCTGGGTTTTGCGGTTTAAGGCGTTTGCAAAGTTAAAATAAAACAACTTATTTAACATAAGCTCCCCTGGCATTAGCGTAAAGAACACCACACACTGAACCCACATATGCTGGCAAGTGCACAGACTAGGGACAGATTGTGACAAGCATCCCCACATTTAAGGCCTGCAGAAGACCATCCACATTTGCATTCCCCGCACTCAGAAGAGAGAAGGGCCTGTTCCTACAGTGAGCTCCAGAGGAGCAGCGCACCCCAAAAGAGGCAGAAGGGTAGGGAAGAAAGGGGCCAAAGGTCCAGCCCACTCCACCCTTCTCAGAGTGGTCTGGCTGCACTAAGGACAGTGTAGCCTGTGACATCTCCCTATTCACCAGGCTTCGTGGAGAGGGATCGTCTCCCCCAGATACCATCGTATCTAAGCACCCTGTGAGTAAGAGCTGCAGAACTGAGCTGATATTATAGACAAGGCCTTGGTTTGAAAGCTAATTCTGTTCTCTGCACATTCCAGTTAACAATCATTATGGTCTCCCATCCAGATTTTAATTTGGGCCTCCTGATTTTCTTTTACATTCTCCCACTTGCTAGCAGGTCTTTTTTTACTGGATATTAGATACAAATGCTGTCTCTAATGTTTCCTACAATCTTTTAAAGCCCTGTTACCCCATTGTGACAAACACCTTGTAACAGAATGGAACAAATGGATGAGCCACTATTATATAGAGTTTGGTCAAAAAGAAAATTACCCACTTTCTTCTAATGTCTTTTCAAACCTCCTGTAATTACTGGGCCATGTGCAAACTTCATCATTTTTGCTTGTGTTAATCTGGGCCTAAAGTGAAACGTTAATTTTCATGGAAATTACACAGGAAATGGAATGCTGTCCCTGGAGCCAACAAGGAATCGTGCAAAAGAAAATAGCTTCTTATTTTGGGATAAAACAAAGAGGGAGCGAGAGGAAGAAGGACGTTGCAGACTGTCAGAACCTTATCTCCTACATAGTGCTGATCTGCATTGCCATTCTCACTTGGCCAGATTCTGATTCCTTTATTCATGTTGTGCAGCCCCTGATTCCAGGAATGGTTCTGCTGATTTCCGTGGACCCTTAGCTTCAGTAAGTGTACCAGAATCTCAATCATTTTCTTTGCCTTTTGCTGTAGCATTATGACAATATGACCAGTGGGGAAAAAACTGTACTGACCGACACCTTAATATCTAGCCATTGAAGGAAACAAAGAAGAACATGTTTCAGAGTAGCAGCCGTGTTAGTCTGTATTCGCAAAAAGAAAAAGAGTACTTGTGGCACCTTAGAGACTAACCAATTTACTTGAGCATAAGCTTTCGTGAGCTACAGCTCACTTCATCGGATGCATGCAGTGGAAAATACAGTGAGGAGATTTATATACACACAGAATATGAAAAAATGGGTGTTATCATACACACTGTAAGGAGAGGTTTTAGTTGGGGTTCTACTTGCACTATATTGATGACATCTTCATCATCTGGACCCATGGAAAAGAAGCCATTGAGGAATTCCACCATGATTTCAACAATTTCCATCCCACCATCAACCTCAGCCTGGACCAGTCCACACAAGAGATCCACTTCCTGGACACTACGGTGCTAATAAGCGATGGTCACATAAACACCACCCTATACCAGAAACCTACTGACCGCTATTCCTACCTACATGCCTCCAGCTTTCATCCAGACCACACCACACGATCCATTGTCTACAGCCAAGTTCTACGATACAACCGCATTTGCTCCAACCCCTCAGACAGAGACAAACACCAACCAGATCTCTATCAAGCATTCTTACAACTACCATACCCACCTGCTGAAGTGAAAATACAAATTGACAGAGCCAGAAGAGTACCCAGAAGTCACCTACTACAGGATTGGCCCAACAAAGAAAATAACAGAACGCCACTAGCCATCACCTTCAGCCCCCAAGTAAAACCTCTCCAACGCATCATCAAGGATCTACAACGTATCCTGAAGGACGACCCATCACTCTCAGAAATCTTGGGAGACAGGCCAGTCCTTGCCTACAGAAAGACCCCCCAACCTGAAACAAATACTTACCAGCAACCACACACCACACAACAGAACCACTAACCCAGGAACCTATCCTTGCAACAAAGCCCATTGCCAACTGTGTCCGCATATCTATTCAGGGGACATCATCATAGGGCCTAATCACATCAGCCACACTATCAGAGGCTCGTTCACCTGCACATCTACCAATGTGATATATGCCATCATGTGCCAGCAATGTCCCTCTGCCATGTACATTGGCCAAACTGGACAGTCTCTACGTAAAAGAATAAATGGACACAAATCAGATGTCAAGAATTATAACATTCAAAAACCAGTCGGAGAATCATAGAATCATAGAATATCAGGGTTGGAAGGGACCTCAGGAGGTCATCTAGTCCAACCCCCTGCTCAAAGCAGGACCAATCCCCAATTAAATCATCCCAGCCAGGGCTTTGTCAAGCCTGACTTTAAAAACTTCTAAGGAAGGAGATTCTACCACCTCCCTAGGTAACGCATTCCAGTGTTTCACCACCCTCCTAGTGAAAAAGTTTTTCCTAATATCCAACCTAAACCTCCCCCACTGCAACTTGAGACCATTACTCCTTGTCCTGTCCTCTTCTACCATTGAGAATAGTCTAGAACCATCCTCTCTGGAACCACCTTTCAGGGGGTTGAAAGCAGCTATCAAATCCCCCCTCATTCTTCTCTTCTGAAGACTAAACAATCCCAGTTCCCTCAGCCTCTCCTCATAAGTCATGTGTTCCAGACCCCTAATCATTTTTGCTGCCCTTCCGTTCTGTGGTGACCTAGAATCCTATTTTCAACGTCTCCAACTCAAGGAATATTTCCAACACACCTCTGAACAACATACTAATCCACAGAGACCTTCCTACCAAGACTACAAAAAGAAGGACTCTGGGTGGACTCCTCCTGAAGGTCGAAACAACAGACTGGACTTCTACATAGAGTGCTTCCACCGACGTGCACGGGCTGAAATTGTGGAAAAGCAGCATCACTTGCCCCATAACCTCAGCCATGCAGAACACAGTGCCGTCCACAGCCTCAGAAACAACTCTGACATCATAATCAAAAAGGCTGACAAAGGAGGTGCTGTTGTCATCATGAATAGGTCAGAATATGAACAAGAGGCTGCTAGGCAGCTCTCCGACACCACTTGCTACAAGCCATTACGCTCTGATCCCACTGAGGGTTACCAAAAGAAACTACACCATTTGCTCAAGAAACTCCCTGAAAAAGCACAAGGTGGTGGAGTAGCATAAGTAATAAATATAAGTATAAGTAGCATAGAAATAAGAAGCAATGAAATGGATAAGACAGAGTCCGTCTGGGCAAAAATTACATTGGGGAAGAAAACTATTAGAGCCTCCCCTGGGATAGTGCTTGGGATGTGCTATAGACCGCCGGGATCTAATTTGGATATGGATAGAGTCCTTTTTAATGATTTTAATAAAGTAAATACTAATGGAAATTGTGTGATCATGGGAGACTTTAACTTCCCAGATATAGACTGGAGGATGAGTGCTAGTAATAAT